CACGCGGGCGACATGCGCGCGCGTCGCCGCGAGCGCATGCTCAAATCCTTCTAGAGTCGTCGCCGTCATTGGCACCGCATACTACTACTACTACTACTACTACTACTACGCTACTACTACTACTACTACTACTACTACTACTAACTACTACTACTACTACTACTACTACTACTACTACTAACTACTACTAACTCTACTACTAGTACTACTACTACTACTACTACTACTACTACTACTACTACTACTCTACTACTACTACTACTACTACTACTACTACTACTACTACTACTAGTACTACTACTACTACTACTACTACTACTACTACTACTACTCCTACTACTACTAGTACTACTACTACTCTACGACTACGACTACGACTACGACTACGACTACGACTACTACTACTACTACTACTACTTCTACTACTACTACTACTACTACCACTACTACTACTACTACTACTACTACTACTACTACTACTACTACTACTACTACTACTACTACGACTACTACTACCACTTCACTACGACCTACTACCTACTAACTAACTACTAACTACTACTACACTACTACTACTACTACTACTACTACTACTACTACTACTACTACAACTACTACTACAACTACTACTACTACTACTACTACTACTACTACTACTACTACTACTACTACTACTACTACTACTACTACTACTACTACTACTACTACTACTACTACTACTACTACTACTACTACTACTACTACTACTACTACTACTACTACTACTACTACTACTACTACTACTACTACTACTACTACTACTACTACTACTACTACTACTACTACTACTACTACTACTACTACTACTACTACTACTACTACTACTACTACTACCACTACCACTACCAACACCACTACCACTGGTACTACTACTCCTGCCTCTTGGGGCCTCCTGGGCCCCCTTGGGGTGTCCTGTCAGACCGTCGGGCTTCCTCCGGCCACCTCTGGCTTCCTGCGGTGTACCGGGCCATTCTCGACTCGTCTGGCAATGCGTGCGCGGCATTCAACACGCGCTCGCCAGTTCCCGTCGGCAACCGCCATCGCGGCCGCATCAGCTGTACCAAACCGGCTGGCCGGTGTGACTTCGGCCCCCAGTTGTGCCAGCTTTGCTTCTTATGTTGTGGGAGGGCGGGTGGGACTGGGCATGCCATGCTTGACTCGCTCGAGCTGGCTAGTTTGACTCCTACTCCTACTCCTACTCCTACTCCTACTCCTGCTCCTGCTCCTACTCCTACTCCTACTCCTCCTCCCTCTCCTCCTCCCCCCCCCTCCATCCCTCCCTCCCGTCCCTCCCCCCCCTCCCCCGAAGTGCAAAGCTAACTCGAGAGCTGGGCAGGTCCGTGCCTCCACCCAACTTTGCTCCATCGGGGTGAGGGGGGGAGGGCGAGCGCGATTTGTGGGCTTTGGCACATGAGTGCGAAACATGTGGCCTCACGCGCGGGCGAATACAATGGGACCGACCATGTGGCCTCACGTGCGGGCGAAGCTAGTGGAACGGATACTGTGGCCTCACACGCTGGCGAACACAATGCGACCGGAAATGTGGCCTCACGCGCGGGCGAAGGTAATGGAATCGATGATGAGGCCTCACGCGCGGGCGAAATTACTGAACACTCCGCTGGTTCAGGATGACCCTGTTTGAACGTATTGCTGCCCCTCTCCCGTTTCGCGGCGCACCCCTCACACGTTTCGTACGACACGCACGACATCATTAGATCATTCTATCTCATGCACGACACCACTATACCCTTATGTCCAAGGATGGCAGTTTTTTACGCACGCTCCGGCAGGGAGCTCCACCGAAGGCCCCAGTGGCTGTGACTACATGCATCCCGCGCCATCCAGTACGGCGTTCCGTGGCCACATAGGGAGCTCCACCGAAGGCCCCAGTGGCTGTGACCACATGCGTCCCGCGCCATCCAGTACGGCGTTCCGTGGCCCCATAGGGAGCTCCACCGAAGGCCGCAGTGGCTGTGACCGCATGCGTCCCGCGCCGCACAGTACGGCGCTTCGTGGCCCCATAGGGAGTCCCACCGAAGACCTCAGAGGCTTTCACCATGTGCGTCCCGCGCCGCACAGTACGGCGCTTCGTGGTCCCATAGGGAGCTCCACCGAAGGCCCCAGTGGCTGTGACCACATGCGTCCCGCGCCACCCAGTACGGCGTCTCGTGCCTCCATAGGGAGCTCTTCCGAAGGCCCCAGTGGCTGTGACCACATACGTCCCGCGCAGCACAGTACGGCGCTTCGTGACCCCATAGGGAGCCCCACCGAAGGCCCCACTGGCTTTCACCACATGCTTTCCGTGACATCCAGTACGGCGTGTCGTGCCTCCATAGCGAGCTCCACCGAAGGCCGCAGAGGCTGTGACCACATGCGTCCCGCGCCACCCAGTGTGGCGTTTCGTGGGATGTGTGCGTGTGCATGTGCGCTGTGCGTGTATATATGTGCGTGTATGTGCTTGTCCGTGTGTGTGTGTGTGTGTCCTCCTCTTGCATGGTGTCACAATCCCCCATAATGGCATCCTCGTTCAGGCATTTCCGCTAGCGCAGCCTTCCCCTGCCAGGCCGCCGACGCAACAAGTGTGTGCGTGTGTGTGTGTGTGCGTGTGCGTGTGCGTGTGTGTGTGTGTGTGTGTGTGTGTGTGTATGTGTGTCGGGTGCGTGTGCGTGTGTTCGTGTGCGTGTGTGCGTGTGCGTGTGCTTGTGTTCGTGTGCGCGTGTTCGTGTGGGTGTGCGTGTGCGCGTGTGTGTGCGTGTGCGCGTGTGTGTGTGTGTGTGTGTGTGTGTGTGTGCGTGTGTGCGTGTGTTGGTGCGTGTGCGTGCGTGCCTGGGGATGTTTCCCTCGGTCCCCCCCCCCAAGGCGCTCCACGGCTGGAGCTCTGACTGAAAGCGGCCCGAACGTCCATTCCACCATCACGCCGCCGCCGCCGCCTCGTCGGGCCGGACCTCGACCAGGCCCCGGCCCGCGTCGGGGGCGCGCGGTGCCGAGGCGGTGGTCCTGAAGGACCCGGCCGCGTGCGCGCGGCGCGAGGCCTCCGCAGACCCCCGCCGCGGCGGCGGAGAGAGCACGGCGGGAGGTTCCTTTTTGGCCACGTGCGGCCTCCGGGTGCCCCTTCTTCGGGGGGCGGAAAAGAGCGGGGTGATGAACACCGTCGGGGCGCTGAAGAAGGAACCCTTTTCGTTGGGGAGGGGCTCGGTGTTCCTCAATTGCTTTACAGTTTGCCTCTGGTTTTCCTGAGGTCTTCCAGGGGGAATCGAAGTTTAACTCATGGGAAAAAGAGGCCTCGTTCTTTATTTAGGGTTCCTTCGGTCAACGCCCCGTCTGTAGGGGGGGGGGGGGGGATATCATGGCGGGGGCCATGATATTTCCCCAGATGTCATGGCGCCTCTGCTTATTTCACTACGTCCCTGGCCCCCCCGCTGGGCCGCGCACATGCCGCCAGTCATGATTTGCCACCCCCCCCACCCTTTTGGACACCCCCCTCTTGGCCTCTCTCGACTTCTGGGCCCCAGAGTTTTTTGAGCCAGCGGGCGCTCGCCGGAAGGGCTGTGGGTTCAGGGGCGCCGTCCCGAAAAAATCTCGACGTCGCCTGTCTGGGGGTCTGAGGAGGGAAAAAGTACCCGTGCCGCTGCCATTCGCCTGTGCTCTCTGGGAGCCTCGGAGGTCTTCGTTGCGACCGCTGGATTCGCCTCGAAGTCCTGGTTAGAACGCACCCCAGGAGAGGTCTGAGGAGTAGCGGTATCGGGACCTCTTGGGTTCCCCAAGGACGGCGCTAGGATGTAGGCCTCCCATATGGGATCCGAGGAGATGGTGTCGGAGGATGGCGCCGCATCGCCGATGCATCGACGATGCGGCGCGATGCGCAGCGAGATTTTCTCCACGACGGCGTCGCCGTTGCACTGCCGACGTGGCCGAGGCTAGGACGATATCGGCAGCCTATCAGGGGAGCCTGGTGTAGCCTTTATTGATTGTCTTTGACGTCGACGAGCGTCGATAGACATTTGGGAGTGGACGTCATCGCGCCGAGAAAGCGTCGGTTAGCGTCGACTAGCGTCGAATAGCGTGGACGGGGCGAGTCGAAGAGAACGCCGCAAGCATATTCTGTCGGCGCTCCGCGCGGAGTTCTTGGATCCGCTCCTGGCCCCTCCCGCGGCGCCTCCAGCGCAGCACCTGGGGCTCCCCGCGCGCCAGGGAAGAGGTCCAGCGCGGATCCACGAAATCCGCGCGGAGCACCAGCAGTTTATGTCTATCCTGTTCTCTCTTGTAGCCGGGACGAGAGATCGGACGGGGCTATGACGGGGCTCGGATCTTTGCTGCTTTTCGCGGCTGCTTGTGGCGACTGGGCTCGGTGGGGGGGGATGCGTGGCGGATGCCAGGAGGGTGGGATGTCAGAGGGGGTGGGGGGTCCCGGCGCAGGAATTGTCGTGAGGGGGGTCCGAAAACAGAACTCTCGTGGAGTGGGGGTGCTGGGGGGCGGTGGGGGGTGAAGGTTTTTTTTCGAAGTAATCCACAAGTGAACAGTTGAGTCGCACACGCTTCTGGGGTCGGCGGATTTTCTTGGCTTCGTTTGGTTCCAGAGCAGTTTCGCTTGAGAAGCGCTCACAATTGGCCTGGTTTGGCCGCGGCTTCGCTTGAAACGTGATCACACGATGTTCGATGCGTTATGAATTGCTGTGGATTATCACACAGTCCTCATAGGTTGCCCAGTTTGACATAATTCGTGCCGTGTAATGCGATGTAATGTATGTGGTGCTAGCTAAGTGGCTCCAGTCATGCGGTGCAAACCACGTGGTGCAAAACCACATTGTCGCAGGCTATGTGGTGCAAAGTATTTGGTGGAAGCGGTGGTAGGCAAGCTATGTGGTGCAAACCCACATCGTCGCAAGTTATGCGGTGTGAGCTATGTGGTGCACAGTCTGTGGTGGAAACTATGTTGTGCAAGCTATGTGGTGCAAGTTCAACTCGTCGCAAACTAAACGGTGGAATATGTGTGGTGCAAAAGATATGGCGGAAACTGTGTGGTGCAAACAACGCGGTGCAAGCCTGTGTCTTCTCGCGGCGTTGGCCTGGTGTCCGGCGTTTGGATAGAATCCTCCCGAGCTTGCGGCATCTGTTTGGGCTACATGATATCTCGGACGTGCGCTTGGATGGGGGTGCCTAGTTCTGGTGTGTCCTTCTGCGTCCCATCTGGAACTACAGAAACGTATCCTGAGCCAGTCCTCGGACGGGGCTAGGACGAGGACAAATCCGTTCCATAGCGTTCCGGAACGCTCTCGGGGCGTTCCGGAATGCTCCGAGAGGGCCGCGGCGCCCAAGACACCCTCCAGAACCGCCGGATCTCAGAGATTCCCGATCTCTCCCCCGCCTGCTGTCGTCCGCGTCCTGGCCTCGTCCGCGAAGTGAGCCCCACCCTCCCCCTCCGAAATCGTGGGGGGTAGGGGCAGGGTTCGCATGTGGCCCCCTGCCTATACCTGGGCCCGCCCCACGATGGCATCCTTCTCCTCCCCTTCCCGTGCGGCCCGCCGGGGGGGTGCCCTCGTGCGGGCGCCCCGGGCTGTGGCCCCGAGGCGGCCGGCCCCGCGCCTCTCGGGGCACAGTGGGGCCCCTCGTCGAGAGCAGGGCCCTCGCGGCCGAGAGAGGTCGGCGGCGGGCGAGGAGGGGAGGCGAGAAGAGGAGAAGGCCTTCTCAGAAGTCGGCGGGGCTCCTCAGAAGCTCTCGCGCCTCCCGAAAGGTGCCTCGTGGCCACCCGTCGGTCCAGGAGGGGCTCTGGCTTCAATGGGCGGCCCGGCCGACTCCCTCAAGGCAAGCTGCCCCCTTTCCGCGAATGCCCCCTCGCCTCGCCCCAGGATGCATGTGTGCGGCCGGAGGGGAGTTCGAGAGGCGAGGAGGGCGCAGGAGGAGTTTTTTTTTATGGCTTTCGGGTCGATCCTCAGGCCGTGGTCGGGGAGCCCTCGCGTGGCCGCGGCTCGCCGTGGCCAGAAGAGAGGCCCAGTCGTGCCCCGCTCGCTGCCGCGCGGAGCTGCCGCCACGGGTGCCCAGGGGGGCCACTTGCCATGCAGCTTCCTGCTTGGATTTTTGATCTGGGCGCTGTCTTCTGTTTGGGAGGCACGAGGCGCGGGACTGTGTTCAAGCAGTTGAAGCCCTGCGGGGCTCGACGCGTCCGGGAGGGGGCCCCATTCCTTGCTCCAGAGAGGGCAGCGAAGGCCCGACGCATGAGCTGCTGCAAGCGCGGTGACGAGTTCTCTGGGAACCCAGATCCCAGCATGTCATAGGAGCCTTCCTACTTCCAGGAAGTACGTGCTCCTACCCGAGCCGCCTCTTACTCGGGCGGTCCGAAGCACAACCTACTTGAATCGTCTTCCTACTTTTGTGTCTGCCCACTTCTTCCAAGCTGGTCGGCTGGCCAGGGGCCTGGGGCGCCAGGTATTACACCTCCAGGGCATGGCGAATGCCCGCGGACCTTCGCTGCGGATCTGCGCAGTCTTCGGTCAACCCTCCTAGTAAGGATAAGCAACTGCCCAAGGTTACCCTTGCATCCTTGCCCCTTCGGCCCTTCCTTCGTCCGCTTTCACTGGCCGCGCCCCGCTCGCAAAGTGTCGACATAGCCCTCCAAGGCCCTTGCATCCTTATCGTGCGTCTTTACTATACGGGTTGATTGTGGATCACCTTTCCAGCCGCTACCGGAATACACCAAGAATATATAACAAACAGGCAGGGTGGGTTTTCCCGTCTCACAGAAGTGGGGCGGGTACTTCTGCCTTGAATGTTTCACGGCGTTCTCGGTCGGAGTTTGCACCCGCATGAGAGCGCCCATGTTCGGCAATTTCACAATCGCAAAATGAGGTGGATCCTTGTTTAGAGGAAGCGTCATGTCTTTTATATAATTTGCCGCTGGGTGGGTTTCGCTAGACCAGAGCAGTCGCAGGGGCACAGGCCCTGACATATCCAGATGGGGACCAGACCATGCCAAACGAGCTGCACAGGGGGAGGCTTTTCCAACAACCCGTCTCCTTGTACCTCTTCATCCCTCCCACCTGCCCGTTCGGCTCTGGCCTCCCTCCCACCGAGCGCGCTGATTAGCCATCCACGCTTTCGACGTCGGCGGCGATGTCTCTGTCGCCGTCGTCGCCGTCTGATGGATGTATGTTTGCATGTTGTTGTATGCTTCCAGGGGCTTCCAGGAGCCTCTGGAGCCCTCTGTGGAGCTCCAGAGCAATCTTGACGCTTCGCGAATTTCGGCCAGCCCGTCCAGAAACATTGCACAGGCGAGCTCTTGGGAGGAGGGAAGTGTGTACGCTCATCGTGAACTGGGCCATCACCGGTGGATCTGGAGGCCTCTTGGGGCCTCTCGGAGCCATCTCGGAGCTCTCGTGAGGCCCACTCGGGAGCCATTGGGGGCTCCGCGGGTCTCCCCTGGGGGCCCTCTCTGGGGCAGTTTCGGGCAGCACTGTGTAGGCCCAGCCCTGCTGGAGGCCAACGTTAAGTTGGCGTCGCGAGCGCTCCGACGCGCGCCCCGCCCGTCGTTCCGCAGTCGTGATTTCAGCGGACCGCCCTGGGGGCTATCATCGCCGCGGTTGGACTACGGATCGAAGTCCTGGCCCACTACAGTCAAACTCGATCGATGGTGAGGGCGGATCACCTTCCCAGGGGCCCCCCTGCCATTCGTGCCTCCTCGGTCCGCCTCTAATCCCTTTCGACGACGAGTCCTTCTCGAATAGCTTCGACCTGCGCGTCCAAGGGGCTTGCATCCTTTCCGCGCATCCTTCTGATCAGTTTTGGCTACTTCAGGAACCTGACCACCTTCATATCCGAGCCAGGGCCACCCAATCAATTAAGCGTGAGTTCGTCTCTAGGGCTGAAGATTTCAAATACGCAGAACGATGAGGAGGATGACGAGGACGAGGACGAGGACGATAAGGAGGAGGACGAGGAGGAAGATGAGGGCGAGGAGAAACATAACGAAGATGAGGAGGATGAGGAGGAGGAGGAGTAGGAGGAAGAGGAGGAGGAGGGCGAAGACTCTGGCAGCCGCCTCGGAGTCTTCTGGAGGCCCTCTTGGGGTCCCCTTGGGACTGTCTCGCGGCCCTCCTGGGGTCCTCTGGTACTGTTGGACCTGGGGCTGTGTTTTGGCCGATGAGAAGAGACTGTCCGACCTGGGGCAGCCCTGCTTCGAGCCTCTTGGGAGCCTTGGGGGGCCTCTTGGGGCCATCTCGGAGAGCGCCGATCAAAAGAGGGGGGCCCCTCGATTTATTTTACCCTTCAGGGACCATCAAGCTCGCCTCTTGGGGCGCTCTGTGGGCTTCCTTGGGCTCCTGGGGCCGTCGTGGGCATCCTGGGCCCCTCTCGGACTCTGTTGGGCCACCTTTAGGGCCGTCTTGACGCCTCAAAACCGCATCGGACGCGAGACGGCGGAATCACTGACTTCCCTAATGTGTTTGTAGTGTCTTGTCGGATCCCGCTGTTCTCCCGCCTGGATTCTTGGATTGAATTCGGGGCAGGCTTGAGAAGCGGGGTCTGCGCGAACGCAGGGCCGCTAAGCGTCAGCGGTGCGTAAGTACGTCCAAAGTCCGTTGCGAAAGAGTCTCGCTGGAGCTGTGTCATCCTATTTTTCTTTTCGGGGCGCATCGATCCTGTGACGCGTGAGTTCCGCGGGGTCAATTGTCAACAGCAGAAAGTACGCTGTTCAATGATTTCAGCCTCCTGGGGAAGTCCCGAGGGAGTTTCGAAAGCAATTGGAGCTGTTGTGTGGTCCTTTTGTGTCCTCTTAGAGGCATGTCGGAAGCTAGATGTCAGTATATTTGGCTATCCTGAGCCATTTTGGAGGTCATTTGCATCGGAGGCCTTCTTGGAGCCATCTAGAGCCAATACATACCCCCAGACACATCGCGGAGGGACCCAATACACCTCAAGGGGTTCTGGAACATGAAATCATAGTCTCGATAGACCACCTCACCTGCGCCCAGAGGACTGGTGGGATCTCCTAAGCACCCTGAGGTCATCCTCGTGGTCGTCAGCATCCCCCCTTTCCTCCCCCCCCGTTCCCCCTCCCCCCTTCCCATCATACTCCCCCCAGATTCCCCCTCCGCTTCTCTTCTCCTTCTCATCTCTCCGCTGCCCTTCCTTTCCATTGTCTCTTCCCTCGCCCCCACACCTCGCCTGATGCTCTGGCTCTCGCTTCCTTTGCCTCTCTGTTTCTCGTGCCCCACCCCTGCGCGTCGGCACCCGGCCGCAAGGAGGGGAAGCGCGGGGGCGTCACGGTGAAGCCCCGCGAAGGCCCCCTTTGCACCTCTGCGGTGCGGGGGCAGGGGGGAAAGAGGCATGGGGTCAAGGGCAGCGCCAGTCAGGAGCGAAAGAGGGACGTACACGTACATGAATACACGCCGATTTCGAGAGTACGCATGGTGCGAGGGCGGGAGGAAAGAGGGATGGGGTCGAGGGCAGCGCTGTTCAGGAGCGAGAGAAGGACGCACACGCACACGAACACACGCTGGATCTCGAGAGCGCGCACTGCCCGGACGCGCTCGTGTCACGAGCCCGGTCCTCACGGACTGGGGGGGCCGCTTCCGTGTGCGTGCTTGGGCGCATAATACGTCCTCTGTGGGCTCCCAGTGAGAGGGGGGTTACCCAGCCTGAAACATATCCCTATCCCTATGCTGGGCATCTCCTCGTCACGATGCCAATCTTAGGGATTCCATTATTTTTTGAGGGCGCATCCCTAACACTGTCATCGCCTTTTGGCGTGTCAATCTCAGGGATAGGGGTAAGTTCGAGGCTGGTAAGGGGTGGCCTCCTCCCCTCCGCGTCCTGCCCAGGAGCTGGGGAGGCGCATGGGGAAACATGGCGCGCCGCGTGCGCCGGCACCTCCAGAGGATCCTCGAAGGAAGAAAAGGGCGAGGCGGAGCAGAAAAAGTTGGAGGGGCTGGGCGCAGGGAGGGACGCATCGACCCCCCGTCGTCCACTC